GCTGAGCAGGGATCACGAGGCTAACAAAGGAGATGTGTGCACGTATGGCACCACATATAATCAGGTTTTAAGCAAGTGTAGTTGCAGTATAGTACGTCAGTGTTTTGTGTCTTAAGTGTCCATGAAATACTCGTGTCTCTGTTTGTCCAATGACACAGTTGTCTGATTGAAAACTTTTAAACAAAGGCAACAGTTCTGAAAGGAAACCAACCGCTACATGGCTCCAGGTTAGGGGTCGAAAAATGTAGCGGAGAGCTGATTACAATCAAAGCTCCTTATAGATTTAATCAAAAGCGAAGCAGCAGTTAGCTTCTGGGACTGAAATGTGACCTTGAAATCTGGTCATTCATTTTAGCTCAATATCACTTTGACTTTAAGAATTTTCGAACGGCTTCTATGAAGATAAATCAAAAGAAAATCTATTTCAGACCAGTGTAAGACTCAAAAGGTCAAAAGAATTTATAAATATACTGTTGCTGACAGTTAATTACTGTATGTAGAAGACAGGTTCATTGGAGCAGTTTGTTTGGACAGTACTGACAACCTTGCGCAGATATTCTCCCAGTTTTTTAAGGCTACATGGGAACTCAACATGCAAAGGGGACCGTTGTATTTTCAGCGATGTGAAAATGAGCTTAGTGCTGTCTTTTGCGTAATCCTGCCCGTCACGCCCCAATTATAAAACAACGCAACTCTGCTGGGTTTATGCGAACCAACATGAGACACATGTGACTGGATTAAGAACCTTTGCTTTGCAGTGCATGGAATCACGCTGGTAAAGGAGAAAAAAATGGTTCTCCACTTACAAAACTGTTGCACTGTTTTATCTTCTTTCCTAAATGATTTACTGCTTTGTTACCTCGTGGTTTTCAGAGAAGAAACCGATGGAATAATTTTGCCCCTGCAGAACTGAGCATATGACTTTTTGAGCAAAAGGAGTCTAAGATAGTGTATGAGGTCAGACGGTTGGTTGACTGATAAATTTGTTAACCAGTCTTGTTTAGTGTGTTTGTGCTTGAATATAAATAAAATCTAACAGTAATAGTCCTATTTTTCCATACAGTTAAAAGTATGTGCTTGAAGAAATTAGATTTTTATTGACAAATTTGTAAAGATACTCCCTCGTTCTATGGAGAAATGGATTTATGATCAATTCTACAAGATTTTTGATTTAAAAAAATCTTTGCATGCAAGACAAAGGGTGTTATGCATTCCTTCAAGAAATGCTGGTTTCATTTACGACTTTTTCCATATGTTTGTTGATTTTAAAGATGTTTCAATTTATTATCATTCTTAAAGGTAAGATGAGTAAAAACTGATGGTTAACAAGTAATCAACAACTAAAAGAGAACAAATTAGTCTCAATTTATGCAAAACAGGGCAATACAGATGCAAATGAGTTTAAGGATATATCCAACAAAGTTAAGTCAGGCCCTCTGGATGTTTATTGTTTTGTTGAAAGGTTTCACCCTTCATCCAAAGGACTTCATCAGTCTGAGGAGTGGCAACAAACTCGGTCCCACAAGCAGCACACTCACAGTGGGCCAACCAATTTGATGGTGATACATGGTTTCTGGAGTCCACTCTCTCCACCGTCGACTCCTCTGAGGCAGCCATGGCCAAAGTGGTTCAAAACATCAAAGTTTTATGATGTTTGACTGATGAAGTCCTTTGAATGAAAGATGAAAATTACAACAAATAAAGAACCTGTCCAGAGGACCTGACTTAACTTTGTTGGATTTTTTATTTTTTTTTTACCTGCATTGCTAAGCATGAACTTTGATGTTTTGAACTGCTTTGGCCATGGCTGCCACAGAGGAGTCGACGGGGGAGAGGGTGGACTAAGGAAGCCATCTTATCACCATCAAACTAGTTGGCCCACTATGTGAGCGTGCTGTTTGTAGGACTGAGTTTGTTGTGGCTCCTCGGACTGATGAAGTCCTTTGGATGAAGGACGAAACCTTTCAACAAAACAATAAACATCCAAAGGGCCTGACTTAACTTTGTTGGATTTTTTTTTTTTTTTTTTTTTACCTGGATTTTTTAGCTTAAACTTTAATGTTTAAGGGTATAGTTGTTTTGGTTTAACTAGCAGAAGAATTCTGTCACTTTCTGAGATGTCCTTAAGTTAAAAAATAAAACAAGTTAAACCCTTTAAAATCAATAAACTGGGCTGTTTTGCTGTAACCACAACTCTTCAGGTGGTAATTCTGGGCTGACGAGAAGAACCCAAACAAAATGGAAGCCCCTTTGGATGCACTTTTTCTTCTGACAAGTCTTTTCAAATATTCAAAGCTGCTACTCGCAAGGTTTGCTAAACCAGATCGTTGTTTTTAACTACTGTATGTTGTGTTCTGTGCTCTTTATGATGCAGCTGTTTTAAAATGTTGATAGAAACACAACTAAGGTTTGTCTCAGTTTGTGATTGACAGGTTTTGATTGACATCACCAAGCCTCACTGCTAAAGAGGAAATGGCTGTTAAAGGTTTTAACACACAAAGAGTCCATTTTAACTTAAATCTTGAGTAACAATAAATACATTAAATGATAAAGTAATTATTTTGCCTCAAATCTAGTCAAGCAATTAATGTACGCGGGGTTTTTAAGAGTTAGATGCCTACAGATTAATCTCCGTCTTATTTAAGGCTCAAACTGTTACATTTATTTATATTTTTATACTTCATTATTTGATGTGTGAATTTGCTTTGCATCTGGTTGCTAATTAGCGTTGCTCCCCAGAGTTCGGTGATATACTTGTCCTGAATATCATTTGACAACAACTATCAAGTGTCCTCCCCACAGTCCAAAAAATATGTCCCAGTGAATTACTAAAGGTACATAAAACATTGACTTTTTATGATACTGTCATGCCCCAGATTCTTCATCCGTAAGACTTTGTTTGACAGCAAAAAACAACATCAACGTGTAGTTAACGAAGACTTTAGTCATTTCTAACAGTATATTTAATGCAAGGAAATCTTTCTACACTGGCTTTGCCACAATGACACAATGACCATGACACAAAGAAAATGGTACTTGGCCAGACGAGGAAGTCCAAAGAATATTGAGGAAATGGAGCAAAGAGAATAAAAACTAGATCAATAAAAGTTTCATTATAATTAACTACGACTTTATGCTCTTCTTGTGCTAACTGAATGCAAGTGGTTCAAAAATTAAATAGACGTCAAAAGAAACAAACTTCAATGCTGTTAGATATCACAAAAGATGATATACAGTACCTGTGCAAGACAAAAACTGCAAAACAGTTTTGGCCTCACTGCACTGGTTACCGGTTCACTTTCTAATCCAGTTCAAAATACTCCTGTATGTCTACAAATCACTGAAC